AAAAGCTGGCAGATGAAGCTGGGGACCAGAAAGGTCTGAGAGAGTCAGGTCTGGCTAGGACCGTGGGTCCCAGGGAGGGGCGTTCCTGGGGACATTAGCATCCATGCTCTGTGCGGAAGACCTCGGCCTGGTGGCCACCCTCACAGAACTCTCACTCTTGGAGGGTGCTGGGGTGGGGTTCTGTCTGCATGCGTCCAGTAGGCGCGGATGCATTCATTTATTTGTACTCCCACAGGGCTCCTCACCACTGCTCTCTCCGGGGGACATAAGCCTCTTGGTGAAGGTAAAAAGAAAAGCATTACATGCATGTGCATGGGTTTTGAAAGTCACGGTGGGGGGAGGCCAATCACAGTGATAAATGGTACTCTCTCTGGACAGTTCCATCAGGACTGTAATAGCAATAGCAGCAATGTACCTGGACGGCTGATCTGACAGGCGAGCTGCCAGTTTGCACTGTCCTGTCTGGCAGTGAATAGAACACTCCCTGTGGCTTTCTGGGGCTGACAGTCTTTATGGGAGTAGGAAGCGTCTTCTTTCTCCCATGGAGCAGCTGGTGGTTTTGAACCATTGACCTTGTGGTTAATAGCCCAACCTGAAATCCACTGTGCCACCCGAGTTCCTCTTGTACATGGGGAGGGGAGAATTCCATCATCTTTTGATTCAGTTGTCCAATGGATTTCCAGAAAGGAAGGGAGGGATGAAGTGCGTTTCTTCAGATTCATTGCCCACACCGGACCCAACCAGATGGCAGGACGCATGAAAAGTGGGGCTGCCATTTCCCATGAACCCCCCCAAAAGCAAAAAATCCAAACTCACTGCTACGGAGTCGATGGAGGCTCACGGCGACCCGATAGGACACGGTAGAGCTGCGCCTGTGTGTTTCCCAGACTGACGCTCTTCACCGGAGTGGAAAGCCCTGTCTCTTGGGGAGCAGCGGGGGGTTTTAAGCTGCTGACCTCGCGGGTGGCAGCCCCACACATCAGCACAATGGCACCGGGTCTCCCTGTACTGAGCTGCTAACCTAAAACTCAGACGTTCAAGCTCACCCAGGGAGGCCTCAGAAAGAAGGCTCTGGGGGTCTCCCTCCAAAAAAGTCAGGCACTGAAACCCCATGAAGTAGCACCCCTTTCCACTCCCCACCCCTTGCCCCACTTGGGACGTGCCTGATCAGAGCAGGGCACACACTCGATGGCACACAGTGACACTTTAGGCCTTGCTCACAAGGTCAGTGCCGCTTGGCCTCCAGTTTCCTCCGATCGCCACTCCCTGGGCCTCCTGTCTTTTCAGACCAGCACTTGATGCTGTGACGTCAGAGAACTCCACCTGACTCATGAGACCCAGGGAAGGCAAGAGAATGCACAACAGCCAACCAAGGAAACCATTCCCAGAAGCCGGGCTTTTAATCGGCCCCCTCACGTGGAGAGGCCTTGATGGAGAATTAGACGTTTGATTACAAAATAAATAGCGGGACACTCTTTGTTGATTTTTATTGACAAGGGAGACTATTTTTCCCTGCCCAAGGGCATGACAAGAAATCACTATCTATTGATTCAATCCCTTGTTTATTACAGATTTTATTAGCTGCCTTCATTTTTCATCAGTCTTGCTCTGCAAGGGACTGGATTTATATCACCCCCCACCCCCACCCCCACCAAGAAACGCATGGGGGAAAAAAAAGCTTCAACCTCAAAGTCTTGTGGTTTGTGTACCCACCGTGTGTATTGGAGAAGGCTAAGAGTCTGACATCCCCGCACTGTGTTGGGGCAGACACTTAGTGAAATGAATAGTCTCTTGTGCCAGGGGATGAAGCTGGGTTTATCAGAACACTTGGGAATCCCAGGGGGCATGTGAACACCTGTATTCAGTGCCCTGCACCCACCAGGACACACTCTACCTTTAAACCTTGTTGACCACAGTCTGAGGACGGTGGGTCCGGCCAGGTATGATCTCTGTTTTGTGTAGTCAAGCAGCTCTGGGAGTGCAGTGGTTTCATTGCTGGGCTGCTAACCCAAAGGTCGGACGTTCGAATCCACCAGTGTCTCTGCAAGAAAGAGACGAGGCAGTCCGCGTTCCTGAAGGGCTGCAGCCATGGAAACGTGACGGAGCAGTTCTACTCTGTCCTCCTGGGTTGGAATCAACCCCACGGCAACGGGTCTAGTTGTGTGCAGCCAGTCGCTGGCATCTAGACACTGAGGGTGGAGGGCTGCTGCTCTGGTCCAGGGACTGATAGCAGGTGATGGCTGGGAAACTGCCTGGGTAGGCAGCTCTCTTTCCAAGAGTTTCTGTAAGAAGAACTTCTGTTGTTGGGTCTCTGCCCACGAAGGTCATCCTCAGGATATCTCCCTTGCATGAGTACAACACTTCTGTGAGCTCCTCACAAGCAGCACTTCTACTCTGTACTTCACAGGTGCAGCTGTTGGGGCACCGAGAGCTGGCTGTGAGCCCCTGAAAAGCACCGAGCAGGGTAGTGGTCAAGCCAAGGCACACCCAGTGGGACCCTAACTTTTCTGTTGGTGACTTGGTCTGTGAATGAGACAGACGTCAGGCAGGTTATGAGTTCCCTGCCAGTCACCAGAGGTGCTGAAACATTGGCTACTGTATAAAGGGTGTAGGAACAGTCTGCCCTCACAGGGGAACAGAATCAAACTCAACCTCAGCCCAAGGCTGAATCCTGTGAGGCAAAAGTCAGACCCACCTCCATCTTCCAAGCTTCCTTATCTTTTGTCACACTGACCGTCTCTATCTAAGCACTTACTACTTCTTTGTTGGGTTTTATAATTCATTGCAATGGCCACAGGGAGCTCACAGCCGATATTAAAGCTTGTGGGGTTTATTAGGAACTTAACAGATGAAAATTCATGATCAGAAATGCTCAGGATACTGTTCTTCCAGTCTGGAGGGCTTCTTTTCTGTCTGCAGGCATGCCTCTCTCTGGGCCTCGACCTCTCTGCCACATGCCTCTTAGGCCTCGGCCCAGTGTTGGCAGTTGCTGGAATCTCCTTTAGCACAGCCTGTATGTGCCCGAAGGGCATGCCATTCCACGGTAAGGCTCTGCACAAAGGTGTCCAGCTCTCGCTCCATGGGTCCGCAAACCGAGTGCTCCCCAATCAAGCACTAGAGGCATCCCACTCCCCAAGTGAGCCTTATACAAAAGGCCTTCGCTTTATTTGATCCTTGGGCTGGGAAGCCTGCCTCTCTGTCCCATCCTCTTGGGGCTGCTGCCCCTGGCCGGCACCATGTCTCTGGTGCTCCTCTGATATCACAGCTCTGTGTCCCAGATTGAGGAGGTTAGGGCCGGGATGTCAGGGTTCCAAGGATATACTCCATTCCTGGCTCTTCTTCCTTGATGACCTCCCATTGATACCTCCCATTCCTGCTTCTGAGATGGCTCATTTTAAACCTAGTGGATGGCCAAACTCAACAGTCTCCTCTGAGTCCCATACAACTCATTTGCATGTAGATTGTGGCTTATTTGCATGTAGACTGTGGCTAGAAGAGCAATGTTAAGTGATTCACTGCATCGCAGCTGCACCCCTCTCTGACAGAACTATTGGGGTGAGGATGCTGATATGTAGGCAGGAGGGCCCCCAGGGTGGAACCAACAGGGAAGGACTGGACTCCTACCCCCAAAGCTTAGCAGTTGGCACCCACTGCCAACACTGAGAAAGGCAGCCCTGGACCCCTGCTCCTGCAAGCTCCCAGCTTTGAAAGTCCGACAGAGCCCGCACGTCCTGCACACAGCACTGGGTTCCTACGAGTTGGAATCAACCTGATGGCACCTTGTGTTTGTGAACGGCACAGGTACAGTGAGCGCTTGGGTGACCTGGAGTGGAGGAGTTGGCTATTCCTGAGCGGCACAGGTGGCCTTTCTTCCCAGAAGCAAAGGCTGCTGCGTTCCTCCACATGGCAGCCTCTCGCCGAGGACTTGTTTGCTTCTACCCGTCACATTGACCATGATGCAGCGAGCTGTATTTGATGTCAACGGAAGAGAACAGCCATGCACACAGCATATGCAATGGGCCCTGCAGTATGAATGGTGCTTTGCAAGCACGCATGGTTTTGTTTGCATTTTACAGCCCTTCCCTTAATTGGGAGAATGGTCCCCGTTTACAGTTAAGAACATGCACTCAAATAGATGAAGTGACTTGCTTAATGACCCAGTAAGTGGAGGAGTTGGGGAGTAGTCTTGATTAGCGTGTATCGCATTGGGCAAATCGCTGCACTCGGCCTCTTTTCATGCTGTAAAGCAAAGATGCCACCTTGAGGCTGACAGTGCCCCTGCCCCTCACCATGGTAATTTCATCGACCTCAGAGGCATGCCCCAGCTGAACAAAAACTCGGGAGCACTGGAGAAGAATGGGTGCATTTGAAGCGTGGTGCTGGGGAGGGATTGCAAATATACCATGGACTGCCAGAAAATGGACAAGTCTATCTTGGAAGAAATAGGATGTTCTCCTAGAAGTGAAGCTGGTGAGACTTGGTCTCCTAGGCTTTGGGCAGGTCATGAGGAGGGACCAGTCCCTGGAGGAGACATCATGCAGTGAAAATGAGGAGATGGATGGACACAGTGGCTGCAACAACGGGCTCAAACGGAGGACGCACAATGGGGAGGGTGCCGGGCTGGGGCGTGTCTTGTTCTCTTGGTGACTTGCTGTGCGTCAAGTCAATGCTGAAGTCTAACAATGACAACATCCACGGGCAAGGGCATGTGCTGTGCACATGAGCAAGGCCACCCACTCAGAGCAGAAATCGGTCCTCCAGAGCATCATGGCGCCAGCTGAATTCAGATTCCCCATGCCTTCCCCAAAGGCTCCATCTACCCTGCTTCATGCCTCGATCACCCATGGCCTTGTTGATTTCCCACAAGCCACCACGGGTCACTTCCCTGTCAGCTCCTCAGTGGGCTGCACAAGGACAGCCTGCTGCAGTGGGCCCCCCTGGAACAATTCCTATGCTGATGTCCTGTCCACAATCAGCATCACCCCAGTAGCAACCCAATAGGGCAGAGTAGTATTGACCCATGTTTCCAAAGCTATGAATCTCTATGTCAGCACACTGCCAGGTCTTGTGGACCAGCTGGTGGATTTGAACCAGTGACCTTTCTATTAGCAGCCACCAGGGTTCCTTACACAATATACCATTGGCCCGCCTTCCCCCCCCCCCCGGCCTGGCTCTTTTCTTCCTCCCCCCCCCCCCCCCCATCATCACAGTGTTTCATGACTGCATCATGGCCTAAGGAAGTGGAAGAGACTCTCTAGGCAAGGATAAGTCCTCCCCAGCTGTTACTCTGCCTAACAAATGAAACCATGGCAAACCACAAAAGATCCTTCTGATCATTTCATGCACCTTTGAGTCAGATGAAGTGCCCTGGGGGCACAGTGAGTTAAGTGTTTGGCTGCCAACCGACCAGTAAGTGGTCCAAACACAATGGCCACTCCGAAGGAGAAAGATGCTTCTGTCAAGACTTATAACCTTGCAAACCCTACAGGGGCAGTTCTGCTGTGTCCTGCAATGTCACCATGATGTGGAATCCACTGGTTAGCGGTGGGTTGGGGTTGCTCATACACCTTAGCACTTAGCAATTCCCAACATGTCACCATCCCCCCGCCCCTCCAAAAAATGTCCAACCAGCTTTTCCAGCCCTAAAAGGAGACACAGAAGGTGAGGGGTTGGTTGGTTGGTTGGTTGGTTCTTACATCTATTCACCTTGTGTTCTCTGGCCAGCTATTTGCTACAACGAAGACATAAAAGTAGCTCAACGCCCTGCCTGCCTCCCTCTGAGAGCTTGCTCTTTCTCTGTGCCTGGTGAGGGGAGGGCGGATGGAGTTGTGCACAGACCCGTTCAGCGATGAGAGGAGTGCTTGGAGAGCGGGAATCCCACTCCCGTGTGGAATAATCATGGAGGCTTCTTGGGATAAGAGACTTCTAAAGAATCGTCAGAGACTGAGAAAGCCAGATGAAGGGTGTGCTGTGCTAGGAAAGCTCTTCTATCCTGAAATCAGAGACCAGGAGTACTGCTGGATCACCCCACACTTCCTCCCTTGCCATAGGAATCCATGCAGACCCCACCCGCTTTGTGGACCTCTCTGCAGGCCACTCAAAAGATGGTGATCGGTGCCACTTGACCTTGAGCTCTTCACAACATTCCACTCATTGTGGCCTTAAAGCTTAGCATGTGGCCAAAGACAGCTTCTTACACTCAATGAGTGGACAGCTAAATGAAGGACTAGTAATAGCTTAAGTGTATTGTTCACTAACCAACTGGTTTGGTAATATTCTAAGTGTCATATTTGCATTATCCCATGTAACTCTCACCAGAGCCCTTGTGGCATAGTAGCTACTCTTTGGGCTACTAACAGCAAGGACACTAATTCAAAAACACTAGTCACTCCTTAGGAGAAAGACAGGGTATTCTGCTCCCATGAAGAGTTAAAGTCTCAGAAACCCATGGGGACAGTTCTATTGTGACCCATAGGGTCGCTATAAATCAGTATGGACTTGGCGGCAGTGAGTGGTTTTTTGTTTGTTTGTTTGTTTGTTTTTACTCTCGGCATAAAGAGAGGGCTCATAGGGTTGTTCTGAGCCAGACATGACTTGATAGCTGTGAGTTTGAGTTGTTTTCATCCAGAGGGAGGAGGAGGAGGGAAGGGGCACTGGAGGAAGGATAGCCTGGGCCTACTACCTGTTTGCCATTTTGCCTGTCATCTGGGAGGATGCTGGAAGCTATACCACCAGTATGTCCCTTAGCAGCAGGTCACCCACGGAGGACAGCTTCCAGCAGAGTTGAAGGTGGAAGCTAGAGAGGAGGATCTGCTGGTTACTTCTGAACACCAGCCAATGGAAAACCCACTGGAGGTCACAACAGAACATCATCCAGGTGAGGGACAGAAGTTTGTTCAGTTGAGGGTCAGAACATCGTCCAGTTGAGGGAGAGAAGTTGGTCCAGTTGAGGGACAGAACAGTGTCTAGCTGAGGGCTACAAGATGAGCCCCCTAGGTCAAAAGGCTCTCAAACTGCACAGCAGCCACAAACAATTGGACTCAGATACACCACTGATTGTGAAACTGGTGCGGGTCTGGACAGCATGTCTTCCTTTGGCTAAGCATGGGCTCCCTGTGAGTCAGGGAAGATGCAGCAGCACACAATGACCCGAGTGTAGTTGCTTACGTGAGTTTTCCTGGTACACTCTGCTCTACACAGGAAGAGCTAGAGATGAGAAGACTACTTCCCTGAACGGAGGGAGCATTCCATTCCCCCCAAGGATATTCCTTACCTCTGACACAGTCCATTCCAGGAACTGTTTATTGAATGCCTACTTGGGCTAACGCTGGCATTATACCCCACAGCGAGAATGTCCTGAAGGTGTGGCCTGCCCTGTGTTCTGCTCCTCTGTTCGGACAACCCCAAGACAGCACTGAAGTTCTACCTCTCTTTTGTCACTCACTCTAGGGACAGAGCATGCCATTTTTAGCAGCCTGAAGTGCTCGTGTGGGACCAGCTCCATACCTGTTTACATAGATACATAGATACATAGATAGATTTTTTACATCATTTTCTCCTGCCATGCTTCCAGCCGTCAGGCTGGCCGGAAGTTGGGGGAGATGAGGTCCTAGTCCAAGTATCTCAGGGCTGGAACGAAACTTCCAATGAAGTCAGTGAACATGCAAAATCCGACGCACAAGGAAGGGTCTGGGTGATGATGAGATACAGCCCGTGGGCTCTGCCACTATCGAGTGGTATTCTTCTGTCTAGAGACAGGCAGACTGGAGCCATGAGTCTCTTTACTGTACAAGTGAAGGTGTTCTTCATGCACACTCTCCCTCTCTCTCTCTCTCAGGATGTGTGCAGCGACTGTCCTCCTGGTCGCCCTGGCCTCCCTGGTCTTCCAGGCTTTAAGGGGGATAAAGGATTCCCAGGAAAGTCAGGGAGAGAAGGCACAGAGGGGAAGAAGGTAAGGAGTAAAGGGACACGCGGCCGTCACCATGGCAATGCATTGTGTCGTGGTGTCAACTGGGGGGAAACGCCACCCCCACTCCCCACAGCACTCGGGCTGTGAGGGTTTCAGCTTGCCAAGGAGGGCTGGGGTGTGGACACAGCTGTGGGATTGCTGAGGAATGGCCCCCGTGGATCTTGATCATTTTAAGAAAATGTTGTCTGACATTCCAGTACAGTTTGATATTTAGCACACACAGTTTTCCTCCATCCTTCTCGCCCTCCTCCCCTCCTTCTCCACTTCTTCCATGACTCTGCCCCTCCCTGTTTTGCTCTTTCTTCCACCCTGTAACTTTGAAGCATTAAGATGTAACAGAAACCAAGTGAGACACTCAAGCAATACAGGATCACCCACTACCTCTCTGTCCTTCAACACGGCTGTGCACCAACCCACTTCCCCACTCATCTGTCCATCAATTCTTTTGTCGTGTACTGTTTTAGGAGAGCTTAGTGAGTATGTATCATATGTGGGCCATAATGACTCTGCTCTCATGGAATTCCTGGTGTCCTGGTGGTGTTGGGAGTGAGGTATGGGAAAGCAACAGACACAAAAGCAGGTTTGATGTGTAACCTGTATTTTGATCATTAACTAGTATCTCCCCACCCTCCCCTACACCCAGATACACAAATTGCTTTAGCATTGGCCCCACAGTGGGTCACAATTCCTGTACTTCTTACAAAATGCTCCAGGTTCTTGGGAGAGGGTCCAGGGCAATTCCCAAATAGGCTTGACTAAGACTTGCACTAAATCCAATTCTCCTGTTGATGAAGCTGCCAAAAATAGATATTTATTGGATTTGCGGCATTTCTTACATCATCCTATATGGAGCAGTAAGCAGACGTAATGGAACCCTTTCATATCCATGTGAACTCTTCTCCCTGCTCCCCATACCCACACTCAGTCAGCTCGCTGAGCAAGTCAGAAGATTGCTTCGCTAATTAAGATGGATGGACCTCAGGGTTTGATTCCAGGCATCTTAATCTAAGAGCTTCCTCTCGTTACAAGAACACTTAGATGTCATCTTGTTGAGTGGGTCTGAGGCAGACCTGTCCAAATCACTTAGATGATTTTTAGAGAAATTATTTCTGGACCCTTTAGCCCAGACTGTTTCCATTAAATCTCTGGGGAGACTTCTCAAATACATGTGTTTTGAAAAAGAACTCAAACAGTTCTGATGATGAGAACCACTCACTAAACCAATTTCTAAGCCAACTTTCCCAGCCATGTTCCATTCTTCTAAGCAGGACCTGCCAGGTGGCCAAGGACCCCGTTCTCTCACCTGAGGCAGCCTCTACTCAAAGCAAAGAGACTTCCTTACACTGTGTTGACACTCAGGGTTGTAATCTGGGAAAGTAAGGGTAGGATACATATAGGTGTGTGTGAATAAATACATATATATGTGCATATGTATATATACATACTCAATGAAATGAATGAATGGTGGAATATTCTCTTTCTACACACACACACACAAGCATGAAAAATTTTATGAAAAAATTATATTAAATTTTAATGACATTTTTCATGAATGTTTTAAAGCGATCTCTATCTTTAAAAAAATCATTTGATTGGGGACTCTTACAGCTGTTATCACAATCCATACATATATCCATTGTGTCAAGCCCTTTTGTACATATGTTGCCATCATCATTTTCAAATCATTTTCTACTTGAGCCCTTGATAACAGTTCATTTCCCCCTCTCCCACTCTTCCTCCCTCATGAACCCTTGATAGTTTGTGATTAATGTTTTCCTTGTCTTATACTGACTGCTCTCTCCCTTCACCCACTTTTCTGTTGTTCATCCCCCTGGGAAGGGGTTATATGTAGATCACTGTGATGGGTTCCCCCTTTCTCTATCATATCTAGGGAGCCCTGGTGGTGTAATGGTTAAGTATTGCGCTGCTATCTGAGAGGTCAGCAGTTCAAAGGTACTAGCTGCACCTCAGGAAAAGGATGAAGCTGCCTACTTCTGTAAAGAGTTATAGTCTCAGAAAACCCACAGGGAGTTCTACC